CACATCCCTTGACTGACATTCTATGGCTATAAACATGTACGTATGTGTAGTTTCCATTACAAATGGCTGTCGTAAGGCTGTAATTTCTAAAACACACCACTCTTCCTTGCAGGATTTCTATAACCCATCCATTGTACAAGAACGACGGTTTCCTCGTGCACATTTCAATAGTATGCTCACACAGACTTGACCAGTATGTGTTTGTATAGAATAGCACGAATACATATTTCCTTATCCAATTGCTTGAGGTATGCAATAACTGAATTGGAGGAATAACTGGAAGCATTATCTTGGCAAATTCATATCTTATTTCCAGACGAAAATTGTTCTTAGTTATTTTGGGTACTGTTGTCTGGGTTAAGTGAATTTACAACGTTTACCACTGACTTTTGTATTCGTGAATTCTCACCTGTAATAAGACGAAGCCCTTTCTTACCATGGTTGGGGTGCAACCTTTGTAGGTCTCTTACTGTGTAGTCCTGACCCCCCAAATTAATACATATTTGTATGTTTTCCAATGTCATTAAGTACAGGTATATCTCGTCTTAGGAATTCTAATCCCCCCCCCCATCTCAACACATCCTTATTATCTGAATGCATGAATATTTTGCGATCAATTTATAGTGGCATCACACTACCGTATGAAAGGTCAAACAATGTCAAAATATATTTCTTATATATTCTGTTCCACCATGGTTTGATATCGGTTGTGGTTCTCATACATCTTACTGACTTGCATATTCAAAATCGTTTAAATATAATTTATGCTGTACATGTATATTTGTTTGTTTATTGTTAAGCATAAAACTACACAATGAACTATCTGTGCTGTGCCCATCATAGGTATCGAAACCAGATTTTCAGCGTTATAAGCGTTCACACTTGCCACAGAGTCATTGAGGAGCTGTGTATGTATATTTTAATTGAAAAATTATAAAACTTTTACAGTACATATTATGATTCACATGAAGGTGGATCGTATGTGCTTTATATAGTTAAGCTATGATAAATATATTTTATAATAAAAATATATTAATAATAACACACAAATCATTATTGAATATATAATATTTTACGTACACATTGACAATATTTACTGTATAATAATTTATATTTTAAATATTCGTAAGATTTTAAGTTTGAAATGTTCATAATTTTCAATTTTAATTTCATCTATATACTATAAAGCCCCCCAGTGGCACAGAGGTATGTCTGCGGACTTACAACGCTAGAATCCGGGTTTCGATACCCATGGTAGGCAGAGCACAGATAGCCCATTGTGTAGCTTTGTGCTTAAATACAAACAAACAAATATACTATAAATCTACTTTCAAGTTTATAAATATTAGTTATTCATTTCTTTAATGCTGATCGTTCTTTTACAATTAAACTGTATCTTACTTGGAATATTATCGTAAAGCTTTAGTGCTTAGTGTAAAACGTTTTTCTAAATATATCCTTTTTTTTACTTTAGGAATTTGTAAGTTCCCACATTCTTCATCTCTTGTTTCATGTATTGATTATATTTTTGGTCAATTCCATATATTTTTGCTATATCTATCTAATGTTTCACACAATGATATTTAAATTTTGTATATTTTTGTGTTTATACTGTAATAGTAATAACATACAATTATTTTTTAACTGTATTATAACTCTAAATTTTGTTAAATAAGTACTTCGCGAGAAGGTTATACCATATTGTAGGAAAGATTAAAACCATGCATGATATATTTTTTTTTTCATTAAGAGACAGGAATGTTTTTAAATAATAAAATCTTACTGCAACATTTATTTTATTTCTTTTGCCATTACTTTCATTTGCTCTTTTCAAATAGATTTATAATTTATCATTATTCCAAAATATGTAACATATTTTGATTTTTGTAAAACAGAATTTATACTTATAATATTTTTACTATCTGCAGTTGCTCTAATATAATGAATAATTTAAAATTATTTGTTTTGATTATTATAAAGAAAATCTCAGAGAACCTGCTTCTTAGTTACCAAGTTAGTGAATATTTTTTTTCGCTCAACAACAGCAGAAACGACTGTGTGTGACAGTGACAGTTTTTTTTCTTCAAAACAGTGATTATACTGTTCCTTTTAAAAATATCAGACTACGTTTTTGGTACTTTCTTAGCTATCTAATAATGACTATTGTTTTTCTTAATAACTATGGATTTTTGATTTATCAATGGCATTTTAATTTGGTTATCAAATCAGAGAACACTGTTTTTCTCAACACCGCGATGAGGGTGAATAAGTTGGTCGTTCAGAATCTATACTGTCACAATAATTATATCAAACATTAGTAATGGTGTATTTCCTTATGTTACAAATATAAATCACAGACAGACAGACACGCACGTGTGTGCGTGCGCCTGCGCATCTTTTTAATGAGACAAGCTAACGAAAATCCACATAGAAAGGAAGTGGTTCCTTATTTCACAACTCCTGATATATAGAAAATGCCATTGCGTTTTGGTAACAATGCGTTCCAACAATGGCTTTTATATCATGTTTCTTAGCAATAAAAGCATACCCTAATATTGTTGTTAGTCTATGTGCTGAAAGTATAAAAATGAAATGTATCTACAACAAAATTGAAAACAAAAATGTTTTATAATTCAGAGTGTCTATTGATTAGAGGTGTTTGGTTTTTATTATTTAAGTTTAAGATCGGAGGACAAGTTAGAAGGAAGGTTACCTATATAAACAAGCCACATCTTGTAAAGGAGCAACAAAAGTATATAGGTTAAACATTGATGTTTAAATGGGTTCAGAATACACAAACTGATATAGTCCTGCAACCACCAGATTGCTGTAACCACCAAGCCTTTACTAATTAAGCTATACTTTTTCTTTAGTAGCTGTAGATGTTATTCCACACTAATTGCGAGATACCATCTAGCCCCTCCTTTTTTAGTTATTTATACCTTCACATAATTCTTTATATCTTTATTCCTTTTTTTATAGCATGTGAAGATTTGGTAGTCTTAATATAATACACAAAACTTTCAACTAATCTAGGGTTACAAATAAGTCAAAAATCTATCATATATTGTGAAAGAAAAAAGTTAAAAAATTAACTTTTAAACATTTCTAGCTAGGTTAAGAATCTTTAGTCTAACAGGTAAAAAAATTATATCGATTTTAACATATATCTTTAACATTAAGTTAAGAAAATAAAAGATTTTATCACGTAATTCTAAATTCTAGGAAACAAATGTTAAGAACAATTATGGTTATGAATGTGTTATGCCATTATAACTTTCCTGTTAACAGGTTATGCCTCTCACACTGTTGAACTATAAATTAGCATATATGAAAGAATCTTTCACATCATTTTCTTAAAATTCAATAAGGTAAATGTGAGTGCACATCAGAGGATCATGAAGCATGATGATGCAGACATACTTTATGCTACAATAACTTATTAGTGGTGAGCTTTCATGATATCAGCTATTATAAAAATTAAAGGAAGAAAAAATAACTTTAATCTTATAGAATTAAATTTTTGAATACAAATGAGTGATGAAAGTATTGTTACGTCTCCGTTTGTTAATTAACTTTCCGTAACTTCGTTCCGACGAGATTTTAACGACACAAGTCTTTACTTAATAAAACTGGTTTATTCTTTCCGAATATAACTTTACCGATACACTCAACTTAAACAATCGCGCTAAACAAACGCTATAACAACGAACGTCAATAATACTGCTGACTGCAGATCAATTACTCACTGTCTACACACACATTACCTTCCTGCGTCACGTTGTCCCCTCTTATATATACCCGCCTACCCTATCTAGTAAATACTAGAGCATTCATGAAAAAACAAGATAGTTCTAGAAAATAGAGGGCGCCACACCTGTCACGTGACCTCGATGACGCAACAGTATGTTATCATACTGAATGAAAAATATGTCGTCTTAATGAAAACTACACTGTAGAGCAACAGTCTATAACCAAGTCCATGACATAAAACACACCCCACTGCATTAATATCATAAATCTTTTTACTTATGATATTTTATCATCATTGGCTAAATTTAATCACAGAAGAACATATTTACACACACATCATGCTATTAACAACTGCAAAAATGGGAATTTAACCAAAATAAGTTTTTACACCCATTCTTTCTACTTGATTTACTAATACAGAATGTTCAGTTAAGATTTGAATAATGATATGATTTATCTCTATAATTATTAGAAATTTGTTGTTGCATTTTTGCAAACATTTAATAATATCTATTGTTGAGAATGTTGTTGATAACATTTCATAAAAAAGTGGAATTTTTGTAGATGTGATTAAAGAGTTGCTAACTTTACCATTTGTTTTTACTGACACACAATGGTTTTTTTATACTGACTAATTATCATAAATGTATGGATGGTTAATAATTCTCTATGATTTTTTAAAATTTCAAGATTTTTATAATCCTTGAAATATACAGTTGTTGTTATCATCCTTTCTGGGAAGTTCAGCATATAATGTTTTTTCACAAAAAATTCCAGATTTTCACCTACTACCTTGTTTCATATAAATTCAGAATAGTCACTCTATTATTACTAATTTCATACTATTTTTTAAACTCACATTGCATTAAAGTGATGAAAGCTATTGGCTTGAGATCAAACCACGGGTAACTTTTTAAAGTACAGTAGAACATGTTTGGTTGATAAACACAAGTGTCACAGGATCAGACACAGATATTAAAATAATATATAAAGCATATTTCAAAAATAAAGGATCTAGCATTAGCTTAAGGAACACTCCTAAAATCATAATTCAGATTTTGGTAATTTTTTTTGGCTTGAAAATAATAAATCTGTTGGCCTACATATTTCTCACACAACAGGACATTTAAAAAGTAATCTGCAAAGACCCGGTACAGATCTAAATTTAAAATACACAAAAAATATCTATCAGGTTAGTTAATTTAAACATTTTCACACCATTTGTTTTGCAAAGAACATAAGACACATTTTGAAGACTATAATTTATTGACATTTTGTTTTCCAAGAGTTTACATTATATATTTTTATGTAAAATTGGAAAATTGTTTTAAACTGTAAGATAGACTAAGAAGATATTTAATCATTTAATTAAGTATGTCTTTTTAAAACATTTTATATAGAATATGAAAACCTGTATACTTTAGAAATAGCTTATCTATTTTATCAAAAACACTACTTTAAACTTTAGAATTTTTATATTCATTAATTAATATAAATAACTATAATTACCAAGTTAAATACAAGTATTAGTGCAAGATTAAACTGCATGTGTACAATTAATTTCATCTCTTTCAATGTAAGAGCAGGCAGATGTATATCCAGTTGCCTAATAGAAAACTACAACACTGCAATCCAAGTATCATAACAACAGCTCCACAAAACCTCTACAGATGACCAGGAGAACTCCAAACAGATGATTAAACAAAACACAGCAACTGGCCCAAAAATATGAAATACATATCAGAATTAGAGGGTTTATTTCCAGCTGAGTCATCTAAAGCCATAGTAAAGAAATGAAAAAGTCAGAATAAAGTTTTGTCTATTGTCAGAAGTTATAATTTTCCTATACTGAAAATGTATTTCCAATAGGTACTTCCCTCCACTCACAAGATCAGCTTTTCCCATTTTGTGCTGCCTTCTATATGCGAACTTTTTAAAATGCATGCCACAAGCCCCCCCCCCCCTTATTGGAATCAAAGGTTCCAACATGTCTCTGATGCAAATAATCATCTCTCCACCAATAGGAGAGCACTACTGTCACATGACGCATGTGACTCCTTCTATGCACCACTACTGAACCATCACTTCAAAGTTTGGCAGAAGACATAAGCACTGAAAGATTGTGGGGAAGAGGGTGGGAAGTGTGAGAAGAGGAAAGTACCTATCGGAAATACATTTTCAGTATAGGCAAATTATAACTACCGATATGGTACTTCCCTCCACTCACAAGATTAGCTAGATGTACCCCCTGGAAGCATCTAAAGGATACTTCTGTAGACGAGAGAAACAGATCAGATAATTTGAGGAGGGACACTGCACCACTTCTGAACTAGGTATTTCCTCGGCATGAACAGCTAGGAATAAACATGGCAGAAAAGGAAGGGTGCATCTGAGTGGGAGAGGATAAGTCAGGAAAGCGATTCCAACCAGACAAATATAGAAACTCAATCCCACAGAAGTAGGTAATGGAGAATGCATCTTATGGTGTAGAATGTATAGGGCGTGGCAGACTATACTCGGTAAGCCAACTATATTCAAAACCTCCTCACTGGGTACCAACATCCACACGAGGGTAGGATGAGGATCATATAGGCTTCACCTCAAGCCCCAAAATCATGGTAATGAGGAAAAAACTGACTCCAGGGCACGACACAGGATTAGCACTGAGCCAGAGATCGGGGAATGTGTCATCTGGTATGCAAGGGAAGTCCATCGCATGCAATCTACTAGAGCCATGAGACTAGTCCAAAATGTCCAAAGGTCAATAACATCCCTGTCACAAGAGAGAACTAGCAATGGAAACATCCCACATACACCCTCCATGACCCACTACTCAGAAGGAAGAATCAATGGAGGAAGATGGAAAACCCCAAACCTGTGTGAGGACTTAAGTTGAATGGTTCAATCGGGGTACCGACATCAGTGCGAGGGTAGGATGAGAGCACCCAATCAGAGGGGTGAACTGCATTTAGACGTCTCACTCTGTGGTATGTGTCATTCAATATGGCGGATGTTATGCTTCCTACATTGGCAGAACACCACTGCCCTACTCTGAACTAAATGGTTGTAGCCATCTATGTGGAACCTATGGAGCAGGATGCCTCCATATCAACCCCCCCCCCCCCAAGCAGCTTGGAACTCCTATACTCCACTGGAAGTAGAGGGGGAGAGAGTGTTGGAGAGTTTGGAGGAACAGCTACACCCAAAACAGTGCAATGGGTGATCACAAAACCCTATTTTATAAGGCAGACCATACCAATTTATTCAATCAAGGCATGGCAGGGATGGGGCAGTGAATCCATTCTGCTTTACCCATGCCATCCATGGGTGGTATGATCCAGGATGAGCATTTTTATGAAGCAAACATCATGAGGTGATCTTCTGAAATACCCCATCTCAAGGGTGAGCATGCATAGTTATGGACAAAGGGCATGAATCAACATGGCACACAGTGTGGATTTGTGTTCTTTTTTTTGTTTGAATATAAATATATCTGAGAATGGTTATAGCCACTTAAGTGAAACCCATTCAGTTTTCAGAGAGAATACCTGGTCAGGCACCACTCACCACGGAGTGGGATCAAAAGTGAAGTTGAAGCAAGGGCCCCTGAAAGAAAAGAAAGCATAAGAAGGGACTTACCTCATGTCAAAAGTGCACCTAAGTCTATAGAACAGCCACAAGAAAAAGGCCACACCCCAAGGAAGCAGAAATTGTGATGTGGTGCATATATTGGGAGATGAACGTGTGCAGAGTCATCCACATGCCGGACTGCAGAATCTCCTCCAATGGCCGACAAAGAAGAGAGAAGCAATGGATAAGGTAAGGTGTCAGATTTGATAGGAAGACATGGGAAAAAGATCATGCTGGGAGGGGAGCAAAGAGGAGTAAGTCAACTGGATCAAACAACGAACCAAATTGGTCAGAGTAACAGAGGAGAGATAATGGGAAGAGGAAAGTTTGCCATGGGATAAAGAGGCAGAAATAAGAACCCTGGAATGAAGCTATGTGTGCAATATAACAATGTAGGGCATGTACTGGGTAGAGATGGGAGATAGGGTAAAAGGAGGAATGAAGCTCGTGAGCTGCCAAGGTCTGGGGGAAGGAATGAATGATCCAGATAAAGGATGAGGTAGGTTGAATGATACAAGGTCCTAGTAATGTCGAGACCATAAATATCTGATCCACGATGCCCACAAACCAATAAGGGGAGGAAATATGCTCTAAAAGAGAGATGAAACAAGTAACAAAAGAAATGGATTCAAACAGAGGTAAAGTAAGGGCATGGAGGACCACGTTCATGTTGCAGTTCAGAAGTGATGGACGTCTCTGCTACCAACAGAGCCAAAAAGAACAGATCAACATGGAAAGGACTGGGGATGAAAAGACCCCGAGGAAATGGGAAAAACAGAAGGTATGAGATAAGGCTGCCTGAAAATCCAAAATCGAGGAGACTGACAAACATCTCTCAAAGAGCCAGGTAAGGAATTCTGAAATACTGGAAACTGTAGGCCAAGAAGTTGGGAAATCCTGAACCAAGCCCAGGAGTGAAAAACTCCATTTCTGTCAGTAAAAAGCCAAGGAAGAAGAACAAACAGAATGGGCAAAATGAGAAGCTACTTAGTGAGAGAATACAGAACTCCTTGCCAGCCGTAAAGACAGAGGACAGGAAGTATGGGATGTAGAACCGGTGACTGGAGTTGATGTAACAGGTCTGGAAGTAAGGGAAGAGGGATGAGAAGGATCACCTAGAGCCAAAGCAACTGAAGGAACCATGGTTGAGTGGGCCAGTCATGAACCATCAGAAGGACTTTGCACAGAGTTGCATGGAGGAAGGAGACTACCTGATGAAGTAATCAGATAGGAGGATAAACACGCATCAATATGGGGAGTACCCAAATCATGAAAGCACCACCAAAAAACAGCAGGATGTAGGGACCACTCTGTGGGATAAATCCGATCTGGTCGGGTTTGATGATCCACCACCAGACTGAATGCACCTGGAATATAACATGCAAAAACACAGGGATCTTGCCTGGGTGCTGCCTTAGTGATTGATATAAGTCATCACTGTAAAATTGTCAAAATGGATCAAAAACAGGCAACCACTGGTAATACAATGAAAATGATCCAATGCCCAATGGATAGCCAGGATTTCCAGGACACTGATGTGAAGAGAATATATTTCTGCAGAACAACGACCCAAACTCTCTTGGTGATCGACCCATGCACCCTAGCCCTGAAGTGATGCATCTGTGAGCAGATGTAACTCTGGCCAAGGAGGAGGAAGCAGGACACCCACCAATTTATGGGCTTTGTTCAACCACCAATGTAGATCATCCAAATTAGATCGAGAAGGGAAGGTGAATAAGAGCATGCAGGGGATCCCATGCAAGGTTCCACTGAAACAAATACATATGAGCCCTGTTAAGGGGTATTATAGGTGTCAGAGACGACCACCTCCCAAAAGTGATAGAACCTCGCCAGTAGTAAGTAAGGGAGCAGGCAGGACTGTCTAAACAGCCAGTTCCAGGGAATGGAGCTGGAGAGAAGGTCGGGCCCGATTAAAATGGGTGTTGAATAAAACACCGAGATGTACAAGGTAATGGGTAGGATGAAGGAAAGACCCCTCCAATGTGATCAACCATTTCACACACACAGTGTTCAGAAGTAGCCAACGAGTAGGACTGGTTGACTCCCATTTGAAAAGGGCAAGAAGAAGCCAGTCAACTGTGGAAGCGCAACCCCAGGGTATTAATATGCTGAGCAAAGGTGCAAACATACAGCACAGAAGCCAGACCGAAGGGCAGAGTTCTAAAAGGGTATACCACCACATGACGGGCAAACTGGCAGAAGTAAAACCTGCATGGAGTAGGTATGACAACCAGTTGGGTGAGGAGGTCGAGTACTACCTCAGAAGACACAGGCATGACACTGTATCTTGAGGATGAGGAAGGAAATGGGAGAGAGGGGAAAGGGTATGACGAAATTCTCTGATAGAACACCATGAAGCCAAACTCTGAAAAGGAAAGGACATGATGAGCTCAACAATCCTGAACTCATCAGGCAGTCACTAGAACCGTTGCCTGCATACCTGTAATGCCACAAAAAATGGTGAACTACAGTACTGCAGGAAGCTGGGACAGGCAGGGCTGTGAAGGGTAGGGTCGGCAAACAGGACTCAAGCTTCACCAAACAGGGCATCCATTGTGAAAGGTGGATCACTGTTGGACAGAAGCCACCCATTATTCCAAGGACACAGTAATCGTGTCATACTTGAAACGTCGTAAAAAACAAAGCCAGGTGATGGGTTCATGAGAATATTGTGACCCAAAAGTCCTAAAGAGAAGTGAATCATGCGTGTAGGGCAAGAGTCGAAGACATCACTCAGCTGACAGTGAAAGGGAAGAGGATGTCACCAGAAAACCCCATAGGGTTCCCGTGAAAAGGATTGAGATGGGGTAATACAAAGAGTGTCAGAGGAAGATCAAAACACA